TCGTAACATTTGTGGCCAACTCTACAATTCTTCTGGCGATTAAAAAAACCCACGATCTTCACACGCCATCTTTCGTCCTTTTAGGCTCCTTGGCAACCTCGGATCTTCTCGTTGGCCTCGTATGTCAGCCGCTTTTTGTGGCGTTTAAGATAGCTGAACTTGAAAGAAATTTAACTGCGTACTGTTGGTTGAGACTGCTCCAGAGCAGAACGGCTTGGACTACATCTGGCGTTTCTTGCTTGACAGTAGCCGCTGTTTCTGTTGACAGACTCCTCGCTCTAACTCTTCATTTACGATACGAGACTTTAGTCACTGTTTCACGACTACTTCAAGTCACTTTCCTTTTCTGGATCTTGTCCATGATATTAAACGTTGTTCTAAGATTTTGGATGACAACTAATGTATGGCTTTTCATCCCTGTGGTCATCTTTTTTCTTACATTTATTGTCATCACGATAAGTACTTTAAAAATTTTCCAGACTGTGCTTAGACACCAACGTCAGATAAATGACCAAAACGCTGCTGTCAGCCATCTTCAAAACAACACCGTTAACGTACTGAAATGTAGAAAATCGGCTGTAACCGTGCTCTATGTTTATGGCTTGTTTGTGATATGCTATGTCCCCTACATTGCAACACGCATCATAGCAGAACTTCTTGGATACACAACGAAAGTGTTCATCGCTGATAATCTCTGTGAGACAGCTATTTATATTAACTCCTTTTTAAATCCTATCGTGTACTGCTTGAGAATAAGGAAGGTGCGACGAGCTGTGAAGAATATCCTAAAACGAGAGTAGGAACCTTAAGTAACAACAACGGCGACACTTCGCACGCTCATCACGCTTTTTGTACAATTTCTTTGTCGTTACAGCACGACTGAACTTCCATACGGACTTATACAGCTGCTTATAGAACTCAGATCAAGAAAAATATACCAACATTTGACGAATTCAACAATTGGTTGTTTTGAATTGCAAAAATGTTGGTCACCCGTTAACATACTTAAAAATGATGAATGCTTCTAGAAACAATATTTGCTGCAACGATGTAAATATTTGGCACTACACTAAAAGTATAATAATACTAGGCGAGTACTTAGTGTAGCTTCGGAACCCCTCCAGCGATCATTTTAATTTATGCCTGTGAAAAGGGCATTTATTTTTTGTGCAGGAGATGTGACTACACGCATAACTTTACCATAAGAAATGTTTCAGTAATACAGTGTTCAAGAACAATAAAGTTTTGAATGTTAGTACTAAGAATTGCAGTAAGATGGACAGCATATTATTTCAGGTTTTACAGACAAAATATTGAGTGGAAAATCTCCATCTAAACAAAGCTGTAGTAGTGGTTGGGAGTAGGAAAAGTAACACAAAATAGACATTGGAGACTCTTGTATGGGTATTTGTGACGAAATCGAAGTCGCGACGATCGGTATTAATAAAACGACGATCTTAACTCAGTATTATAAAGCGACGATCGCATTGCCATTCCGATCAAGTTATACAGCGTTAGACGTGCGATGCAACTGTCAAAAATATAAAGTGTACTTGCACGTTAAAAGTTTTTGTTTTTCTTATTAAACCTGCGGCTATTTTATTTCCAGGGGCAACCAACGATAGTTTTCACCCTTAAAATACATTGAAACCTCTTATTAGGCTATCCAGGGTAACTTTAGATATCTGGAATTGCATTCTAAGCGGCGCTATAAAATTTGTATCCGAGTGTTCGGTCATACTAGGGAAACTTGAGTCTTTTCGAGATTACAAGGGCTTTCGTGTTGTTTTCCCAAAAATTTTAGCTGCGATTAAAAGTTTTACGAAAGGGAGAATTTTTCTGATTCCTCTTTGCATCGCATTTTCGTTTCCGAACATTTTGGGTTTCTTTTTTCTACGCGTGAAAAAAAAGCTTAATCTAGGGAGTGAAATGGGAAAACTTAGAAAATCATAGGGAATTTATTAGATAAGCTTCGAAAATTGTACATGAATAGAACGGTCATCCAGAAATATTTTTGGCCTTCCTCAAACTAAGGAAAATTCTAGGCAATTTTTACTTCTCCGAAACAGATATTTCACAGAAAACAATTGTTGGGTGCCCCTGTATTTTGTCGATCCCTTCGTCGGTGGCGTGGTTGCTAGAGCTCGCTAGCAGCGTTACCACGCAAAACCATTCTTGATATGCGACGATTTCAGTAGCCTGCGAGCAAGCTCTCCTATTTGGGCAAGCGAAGTGAGCCTCGCGAGAACGCGCAAGCGAGGGGCCGAGGGGCCTTTCCCCTGCCCCTCGTGGCTTCGCCGCTCGCTCGCGCGTTCTCGCGAGACTCGCTTCACTCGCCCAAATAGGAGAGCTTGCTCGCAGGCTACAATCTCAGTCGTTAAAAGACCGACGATTCGATGAAAAAACGCAACGAAAACGTTTACAAAAACCCATAGCCGAGAGGCTCACCATACGTGCTCAAAAGGCCTCTTTTTCAGCTGACTTTAGATAATGACTTCCTGACAGTTATCAAGTTGGCTATAGTGGTCAGCATGGCTGAATTTTAGGACAGCCAATCGTCATTGTCATGTTGAGCAAAAAGAAATATTGATTAAATATTACGTACTAAATAAATTTGGCTGTTTACCTTGTGAAGGCTAATTCTTATGGCCATGCTAATTTGTATGCAAATTTGCTCGGCAAAGTTTAAGATGATCTGAATATATATACTTTAAGGTTACTTACTTTGCAAGATAACCACTGAAAATTGAACAATTGTCTAGAGCTTTAACTGTTTTTGTTATCAGAAGGCACTTGGGAAGGAATGGCGTCGGTTTCAAAACTCAAGACGACTTTTGGACAAGCTTCACACATTAAGAGGACATTTTCCTTATCATGAACAGAACAAACAATGATACCTGTTTTTTCTTTGAAAAGAAATTTGTCGACCTCGATAGAACAGAGGACGTTTTTATCACAGACGTCTTTGCGGTTACCCTAAATTTTTTGTTTTCTTTAATAACATGTGTGGGAAACTTTCTCATTGTATTTGCGATTGGAAAAACCCGAGATCTTCATTCGCCATCTTTCGTCCTTTTGGGTTGTTTGGCAGTTTCGGATCTTCTTGTTGGGCTGATATGTCAGCCACTTTTAGCGGCGTTCAAAATAGCTGAACTTAAAAGTAATTATACGGCGCGCTGTACATTGGAGATGCTTCTGCACACAACAGGGTGGATGACGTCTGGCGCATCTGTTCTGACTTTAGCTACGGTGTGTGCTGATCGAGTTCTGTCACTAATCCTACATTTACGATACAAAGCCCTGGTAACTATTCCGCGCATTTTTAAAGCTTTTTCTGCTGTGTGGATCGCATCGATCACAGTTGTAGTTGTTAGGTTTCGTATGGGTACTGGATGGTCTTTCGTTGCGATTGTCGGATTTCTTCTTCCCTTCCTTGTCATAGCCGTTTGTACGTTAAAAATATTTCAGGTTGTTCGAAGACACCAACGCCAGATAAACGATCAATCTGAGGCTCTCAGCTATCTTCAATCCAACACAGTAAATGTACTCAAGTGCAGAAAATCAGCCGTGACAGTGCTTTATATTTATGGTCTGTTCGTTATTTTCTACCTGCCCTACTTTGTAGTGATGGTTTTGCAAGTGTACGTTGTTGGATTGACAAGAACAGTAAGGATTGCCTGTGACTATGCTACGACTGCTGTTTTTATGAACTCTTCTTTGAATCCGCTGGTGTATTGCTGGAGAAATAGAGAGATAAGACGAGCTGTAAAGAATATCTTGAGAAGGGATCGAATGATAAATCCAATCCAACTCGAATGGCCATCAAACACACCATCTCGATGTCGCCCCAGTCATGCCAGACCATCGGATTTGCGACAGACACTTCCACCGCGGGTTACTGCATGGAAAGCGTTCCCACGGCGGCCCAAAGAAGTGCTTTAACCTTTTAAGCTACAATATCCACATACAAATTCTCCAAACTGGTCGCCATACATTTTCTTAAAGAATATGTTGAGAGAATTTGAAAAAAGATCAAGGCATTTTCTCTTTTGTGATCATTTTATTAATTCTCATAACCTAATCTCTTGACAATGTATGGATATCGATAAGAGAAAATTGAAGTTGGTCAAATTGATTGACTTAGATTGACTTAGAGTAGGCCAATTTTTGCCTGCGTGCTCAAATTTGCTTTACGCAGAAAAAAAGAAAGAAGCAGTTTTTCTTTTTTTCTTTTCTTTTCTTTTCTTCTAACCACAGTGTCAGTCAAAATTGTTGGGACACTTTTGTGTCTCCTTGTCCCCTCAATGTTGGTGTACAAGATTTGGTGACCGAACCGCGATAAACAACTTTGAGGGGGACAAGGGGAGCACGAGAAGGAAAAAAACAGCGTTTGGTTTAAGTGTCTCAACTATTTTTGTCTGAGATTGCAGCTGTCTCTCTCTAATCTCATATTAGGAAGATGATTGCCTTGTCAAAACTGCCAATTACAATTGTCGCAGTGGGCGATAAGGCTTTATTAATTAATAACTCCTATAAGCTGTAGATCGTGTGAATTCTGAGATTCAATATTAAAAAAGACAGTGGCAGCATATCAGTAAGTATGAAAATTTTTCAGACAGACTAAATTTGTTTAATATTACCTCAATTAGTTTTAGGCAATTTAATTGCTTCTGTTGGGAATCAAACAGTTTGTATCATGTATTTTGGTTCTGACCTTCAAAGACTGCTCGGTTGAATATATAGGAGAGTTAACATTAACCTTTACAAGGCCGCAGACAGAGGACGGCTGTATAGCTAGCCCTGAAACAGAAGCCTCTGTTGAGAGAAGAGACTTTATTAAGGCTGACTCGGTTGAAAAGAAAAGATTTACTTCAAAAAAAAACCTGCCTCGGTTGAGGAATAGAATGAACAAAGCTTGGCTCATCAGACACTATGAACAAATCAGAGAAAACCTGTTTCTTTTTTGAAGAAAAGTACATTAATCTGACTCTCGCCGACTCCGAAGAAGTTTTCATCGCCAGTATACTGACTTGTTCTTTCGATTTTTCATTTTCTGTGCTAACATGTGCGGGAAATTTCCTGATTGTAGTTGCTATTGCAAAAAGCGAACATCTTCGTTCACCTTCTTTCATTCTTCTTGGTTGTTTGGCAGCTACGGATCTCTTTGTTGGTTTTGTGTGCCAGCCGATCTCTGCGGCTCGTAAAATAGCCGAACTTAGAGAAAATGTAACCGCGTTTTGCACATTAAAAATGCTCCACTTCGTATCAGGTTGGATAACATCTGGAATTTCTTTGTTTACTTTAGCTGCAGTGTCTGTTGATAGAGTTCTCTGCCTAATCCTTCACTTACGATACAAAGCGATTGTAACAGTTCCTCGCACTTGGATAGCCACCTCTGTTTTATGGATGTTTTTCATTGCATTCGTCGTTGTAAGGTTCTGGATGAGCAATGTATGGGATCTTATCGTGATGGCCGTAATGTTTCTAGTATTTCTTGTCATAACAACCAGTACCATAAAAATATTTCAGATTGTACGAAGACATCAACGGCAGATATGGGTGCACCATGTTCGAGCCAACACAGCTGCCAACACAGCTGCCAACACAGTGAACGTATTGAAGTGCAAAAAATCAGCTGTGACAGTCCTTTATATTTATGGTTTGTTTTTAATTGTCTATCTGCCATTCTTTGTAGAATTAATCATTGACGTATTTATTGGATACACAAGAACAGTGAAGATTGCATATTATTATGCTGTAACTTTCATTTTTATCAACTCTTGTTTGAATCCGTTTGTTTATTGCTGGAGAATCAGAGAAATAAGGCGAGCCGTGAAGAATATCTTGACAAGAAGATAAATGAGCGATCTTACAAAGGCTATGTCTTTGCGAATATTGCTGTTTAGGTCAATTTCGTGCTTAAGTCAGTACAGTCGAACTTCTCTAATACGGAGACCGAAGGGACAGAGCGAAGTGTCCGAATTAGAGAGGTGTCCGTATAAAAGATGGGTCACTACGATGACCTGACTTTTATGACTCCACTTATATTACAGTTTTATAAATGTAAGTAGCTAAAACCAGGCTCACACTCGTCTTTAAGCTGCGCGCATTTAAAGTTATTAATTCACAGTACAAAGACACTGTCTTTCAGTAGCATACAACATTGTACATCTCAGCTACAGACAAATTACTGTTTTAAAACGAAACGAGCTACAGCGTAATGCTACATGTAAAAAGCAAGTGCAGTAAAAAGTAACTAGAGTACAAAATGTAATAAAAAAGATATTTATGCTATCTGTAGTTATTGAAGCCTTCAAAAAGTCGGTTATGTTCCTCTGTACACTTTCGCAAATCGTTGTTTGGTATACAGCGACTGGGCTTTATATCACCTTGCATAGCTCATCAGCCAGACTAGAAGGGATTCACCCTGTGTAGATTCACCTCTTGGGTAACCAATCAGAACAACAGATTCGCTTTATCTTTCCTGCTTGTCGATAAAAAATCATAAAATTAGAGATGGTAAATCCCCAAAGAGGCGAGGCCTAGCACTGAATTGCCTATAATCATCAAGGGTCCAGGACACTTATAGAACTACATCAAAGGGACATTCAAGACACACCGCCAAAAACTTGGGAAAATAGCAAATGATTGAAAAGAGATCTTGCTGATCCAAATGAAGTACCGGTATACTCTCAAGTTACCCTTCCTCTCGAGCAGAGGGGGGAGGGGGTGGGGGTTAAGGTGGCGCAGTGGTGACAGCACTCGCCTCCCACCCATGTGGCCCGGGTTCAAATCCCGGCTTCGACGCCATATGTGGGTTGAGTTTGTTGTTGGTTCTTTCCTGTGCTCCGAGAAGATTTTCGCCGGGTACTCCGTTTTCCCCCCTCCTCAAAAGCCAACATTTACAAATTTCAATTTCGACGAGGACTGACTAGCCGAATAACCACTGTGTGCATTTGCTACCTCTAAATCGTCATTTACGTATGTATTTATTTCTTTCTTTCAGTTTTTGTGGCTCTTTTAAAACGTATAAAATGCAAACGTTTATTTCATGTAAATATCTTCTTACCTCATCCCCTATGGGGTTTTGTTATGAAACTAAAACGATGTTCCATGACGTATACGGCATATAAATGAAATATCGTCAAAAACTATATTTGCGTAGGTATTTAGTTACTTTACAACCAATTTTTTTTTAGCAAATTCGATTATTTATCCCGTGCTGATCGAAACTAAAGTAGTTGGCATACTTAGAAACAGAAACCTGGCTGAGAAGATGTAAATTATAATAAATTCAATCTGTCAAGTTGCCTTAGTGAGCTTTGATCGTTATTAAGAAACTTTTGATGATAGCTTCACCTTGTTAGAGGACCAGAGAATTTTTTCCGATCATGAAGACCTTGAACAAAACTGAGACAACCTGCTTCGGCTTTTACTTTATTACAGGTGTCACCTCTGATAATACGGGAGAACTTTTCGTGACAAATATTCTGACATGCATCCTCAATGTATTGTTCAGTATCATAACATGTGTGGGCAACTCTACGATTCTTCTTGCGATTAAAAATACACGAGATCTTCACTCGCCATCTTACGTCCTCCTGGGCTGCCTGGCTTTTTCTGATCTTCTCGTTGGCCTCATATGTCAGCCACTTTTCGTGGGGGTCAAGATAGCTGAGTTTGAAAGGAGCTTTACTGTGTATTGTTGGTTGAGAATGCTTCAGTCCAGATCAGGTTGGACAACAGCGGGCGTTTCGTTTTTCACAGTAGCTGCAGTGTCCGTCGACCGACTAATCGCTTTCCCGGGGGGGGCACTTGGCTATTTTCTGGGTGGGTATGTGCCGCCCGGGACTCCAAATTGGCAACCCGTTCTAGAAAAAATTTCCCCTAAAATTGATACCCCGTTCTAGAAATAGGCTAATTTTTTATACCCCGTTCTAGAATTCGCCCTCAAACTAACACCCCGTTCTAGAAATGGGCCAATTTTTTATACTCCGTTCTAGGGTGCAACAAGAGTACAACGGTTTTTGTTAACGCACTGAACCGTATTTTTAAAAGCAATCTGTCCTTGAATGCTTTCAAATGGCTGCTTAAAAAAGGGGAGAGCTTTCGTGCGTTCGAAATATTATACCCCGTTCTAGAAAACGCCTCTGAAATGGATACCCCGTTCTAAACCAGGAGCTTCAAAATCACGACCCCTTTGGGCGGCACATACCCGTATAGGTAATGTATGGGAGTACCCCCCCGTGATCGCTTTACACCTGCACTTGCTATACAGCGCATTTGTCACCGTTTCTCGGGTTTTGCAAGCCACTCTGGTTATTTGGATCTTGTCCCTTATATTGAATGTCGTGCTAAGGTTTTGGATGACTGCCAAATGGTTTTTTATCCTGTTGGTCATTTTTGTTGTTGTGTTCCTGGTTCTAACCGTCAGTACCGTGAAGATATTTCAGATGGTTCGAAGATACCGGCGCAAGATAGAAAGACAAACTGAGGCCGTGAGCCATCCTCAATCAATGACAGTGAACATTCTCAAATGCAGAAAATCAGCTGTCACTGTACTTTATATTTATGGCTTGTTTATGATATGTTATGTCCCTTTCTTTGGAACTCTGATCACAGACATGCTCCATCGATATACAATCAAGATACAACTCGCTTATGATTTCTCTGGGACTGTTATTTTCGTCAACTCCTTTATAAATCCGGTTGTGTACTGCTGGAGAATCAGGGAGATAAAAAAAGCTGTAAAGAACATTCTAAGGGGGTGGGGTGGGGGACGGAATGAATAATACCCTCGCTCCTGGAAGCCAAAATGATTTCCTCGATGCCAATATGAGGGACCAAAGTTGGGGATTTGTATGGGAAGCAATGTTGGCGCACTATTGGGAGCACTCCCTTCCAATGTGGCGCGGGTTCAAATCCAGGCGTCGACCACATTTATGTGGGTTGAGTTTGTTGTTAGTTCTCTCCTTTGCTTTGAGAGGTTTTTCTCCCGGTGCTCAAGTTTTCCCCTCTCCTCGAAACCAATTCTTTGTTTGTTGTTGGTTCTCTCCCTTGCTCTGAGGGGTTTTTCTCCGGGTGCTCAGGTTTTCTTCTCTCCTCAAAACCAATTCTTTCAAAGTCCAATTCCATCTGTAGCGCACCGTCACGTCTAAATTAGTTCTCAAAAACTGCTAAGTGCTTTGTGGGTAAACACTTACAATTACAAAAATCAGTCTCCGAATTTGCTTTCATAATGCTAGGCTCCGTGCTTGTCCTTTTTTATCCTTCTACTGCAGAGGACATTTTATAAGTGTTCAGTAGCTAAAACCAGGCTCACACTCGTCTTTAAACTGCGCGCATTTAAAGTTATTAATTCACAGTACAAAGACACTGTCTTTCAGTAGCATACAACATTGTACATCTCAGCTACAGACAGAAAGACTGGCGCAGTGGTGACAGCACTCGCCTCCCACCAATGTGGCCCGGGTTCAAATCCCGGCGTCGACGCCATATGTGGGTTGAGTTTGTTGTTGGTTCTTTCCTGTGCTCCGAGAAGATTTTCGCCCGGTACTCCGTTTTTCCCCTTTTCTCAAAAACTAACATTTTCAAATTTCAATTTCGACGAGGAATACTAGCCGAAGAACCACTGTGGCGTGCATGTGCTACCTCTAAATCGTTATTTACGTATGTATTTATTTCTTTGTTTCAGTTTTTGTTTGTTTCAGTTTTTGTGGCTCTTTTAAAAAGTATAAAATGCAAACGTTTATGTAAATATCGTCTTACCCCATCCCTGTGTGGTTTTGTTATAATCTAAAACGATGGTCAAAGTACTTTCCATGACTTTGGTATACGGCATGTAAATGAAATATCGTCATCAAACTATATTTGCGTAGGTATTTTGAAGTTATTTTACAACCAATTTAGCAAATTCGATTATTTATCCCGCGCTGATCGAAACTAAAGTAGTTGTCAATGCTTAGAAACAGAAACCTGGCTGAGAAGATGTAAATTATAATAAATTCAATCTGTCAAGTTTCCTTAGTGAGCTTTGAAACTTTTGATGATAGCATCACCTTGTTGGAGGACCAAAGAATTTTCTTTTGATCATGAAGACCTTGAACAAAACTGAGACAACCTGCTTCGGCTTTTACTTTACAGGTGTCACCTCTGATAATACGGGAGAACTTTTCGTGACAAATATTCTGACATGCATCCTCAATGTATTGTTCAGTATCATAACATGTGTGGGCAACTCTACGATTCTTCTTGCGATTAAAAATACACGAGATCTTCACTCGCCATCTTACGTCCTCCTGGGCTGCCTGGCTTTTTCTGATCTTCTCGTTGGCCTCATATGTCAGCCACTTTTCGTGGGGGTCAAGATAGCTGAGTTTGAAAGGAGCTTTACTGTGTATTGTTGGTTGAGAATGCTTCAGTCCAGATCAGGTTGGACAACAGCGGGCGTTTCGTTTTTCACAGTAGCTGCAGTGTCCGTCGACCGACTAATCGCTTTCCCGGGGGGGGCACTTGGCTATTTTCTGGGTGGGTATGTGCCGCCCGGGACTCCAAATTGGCAACCCGTTCTAGAAAAAATTTCCCCTAAAATTGATACCCCGTTCTAGAAATAGGCTAATTTTTTATACCCCGTTCTAGAATTCGCCCTCAAACTAACACCCCGTTCTAGAAATGGGCCAATTTTTTATACTCCGTTCTAGGGTGCAACAAGAGTACAACGGTTTTTGTTAACGCACTGAACCGTATTTTATAAATTAGTTCTCAAAAACTGCTAAGTGCTTTGTGGGTAAACACTTACAATTACAAAAATCAGTCTCCGAATTTGCTTTCATAATGCTAGGCTCCGTGCTTGTCCTTTTTTATCCTTCTACTGCAGAGGACGTTGTTTCTGTTTCTGTTGACCAGAAGAACAGAGTAGTGACCAGTCTTCATACTTTGATAAATAACTAGAAAGTAATTGAAAGTAGGATTCTATTTCTTTGCACAAAGCGATATATACACGCATCTATAGTATAAACACCATGAGAAGGAGTGTTTCATCTGACATCCAAACAGCGACAAGTATATATTAAACACGAGAAGGAGCTATCCAAACACCAAGAAGTAATATGTCAAACAGGAGAAGAAATATTTCATCTAATCTCCAAACACCGAGAAGTAACAAATTTAACAAGAGAAAGAGTGTTTTATCTATATCCAAACTCCAAACACTGAGAAGTAATAATTATAGTAAATACGAGAAGGAGGGTTCCATCTGATATCAAAATACCGAGAATTATATATCCAAACACGACTGTGTGGCCCTGCCATGAATACAAGAATGTGAGAGAAACGTGTTAGCCAAATTTTTGATTACTAAATTATACAAACATAATAAACACCCACAGGTAGCCCAAGCTCCAAATATGTCAAATATGAGCATCGTTGAACATCGGCAATGTTGCGTAACATTAGAAATATAAGTATTTGTATGGCAAAAAAAACCTATCGTTTCCGTAACCTACGAAAATGAAAGCATTTCAATAAAAAACAGCCTACCTTACATAAAATGTGTGTGTGTGTTAAGTCTCCCCTGTACGTGTGGTCGATGGGCCGATTTAAGGCCGTTTTATGGGTTGTACTGTAAACGGTTATCTCTCTATATAGAGGTTTAAGATAAAACGCATTTGATAACCAGCAATTTTTAATAACAGTCAGCTGAACAGTCTCTGATCGGATTCAAATCCCTTCCAAAACAACGCATAAAGACACAGGAACACAGGTAAATACATCTAATTATTCTATTAGTTAATACAGCGTTCGGGCTCCCTCTAGTCCGTCCTTAACAGTGAGCCAATGAAAAGATAAACCGTCTTAAAACGTTCCGAATTAAAAGGAAAGCCTGCTTTTGTGATGAGAAAAACCCGAGCATTTTAATTACTCTTTCGGAGGTTTACCAAGCATTTTACTGCGAAAAATAGAGCTTTACGATAAAGCATTTTAAAAGAAAACAAAAGAATAACGTGAAAAAAGACT